TGTGTGTGTGTGTGTGTGTGTGTGTACATGTGCATGCACCCCTGAATGTGTATATGTTCTCATATATGAATTAGTACAGGCATGAGCTTGCCCCAACATACATATGGAGGTTGTCTTAGTTAGGATTTCTATTCCTGCAACAAAACACCATGACCAAAGAGCAAGTTGGGGAGGAAAGGGTTTATTAGGTTTACACTTCAGAGTTGCTGTTCATCACTGAAGGAAGTCAGGACAGGAACTCACACAGGGCAGGATCCTAGAGGAGGAGCTGAAGCAGAGGCCATGGGCAGGTGCTGCTTACTGGCTTGCTTCCCATGGCTTGCAACCACCTTCTTATAGTACCCAGGACCAACACCCCAGTGATGGCCCCACACAGCATGGGCTGGGCTCTCCCACATGGATCACTAAATGAGAAAATGCCTTACAGCTGGATCTCAAGGAGGCATTTCCTCAGCTGAGGTTCCTTCCTCTGATGACTCTAGCGTGTGTCAAGTTGACACACAAAACCAGCCAGTACAGAGGTCAAAGGGCAGCTCCTTGGGTCATCCTTGACTTCTACGTTGTTTAAGACCAGGTCTTTTGTTGTTTGGTACTGCACAAGCTAGATTAGCTGGCCATGCACTTCTATCAAGATCCCTCTGTCTCCACCTCCCATCTCCATCTAAGAGTGCTGGGATGACAGATGTCCTTCTGTGTCCATCTTTGTGTGGATCCCGAAGATCTAAACACAAGTCCGCAGGCTTGACCAGCAAGTTCTTCATCCTTTGAACCATCTCCCAGGTCCTTGGTGGGCCCTTTATCAATGCACCTGTACTTCTAGGACATGGCTTTCTCTCTTTCCCCCATGTTGTTGGTTAAGGTCCCATTGCGGTGACAAATTACCTTAGGTGAACAGTTTATAAGGAAGAAGAAGTTATTTAAGCTCAGTGTTAGAGAGGGCTCAGTCTGTAGTTGTTTGTGGGGTGGGGCTGTCTGTGGTGAGATGTTATACCACAGTGAGAAGTATGTCATAGAACAAAACTCCCCACCTCTAAGTTTGGGAAGCAGACAGATGTGAGAGGGGACTGGAGTCTCAACATCCACTCACAGGACACGCCCATGTCTTAAAGGTCCCACCATCTCCCAATAGTGCTTACTGCCCCAACATAGCATTACGTATCTTCTCTCTCCTACCGGACAATTGAACTCTAAACAGGGTTCTGGCGGCCATGACTATTTGCTTAAATGTGTAACCTTCTGTCTTAGCCCACTCAAGGTGCTATAGCAAAATACCAGAAACTTGATAGCCTTAAGAAAGCACTGAAATTTATTTCTCACAGATCCAGAAGCTGGAAAATCCAGATGGACGAGCCGGTAGATTTAGTGTTTGGTGAGGGCCTGTTTTCTGATTCACAGATGGTACCGCTCACTATAAACCCACCTAGTGGAAAGGCTACAAGCTTCCCGGAATCTCTTGTGTCAAGGCACTATTCCCAATCTTGAGGGAATTGAGTGCCTGCTCTTGGGATTGAATCGTCCCCTAGAGACCAGCCTCCCGAACAGTCATTTTGTTGGCTAGGATCAGTACATCCACATTCTGGGGTGATAGAAACATTTAGACTTTAGCAACCCACCACTAATGGGGTCAACATATGCTAGTTGATTACTATTGTTTGCTTAAATGGATAAAGGAATGTGGTCCTAACAGATTATCAGACTGAAATCTAGCTCACTACATCTGATGAGTCCTTATGTCTTCTATGCCTAGCATATACTAAGTTCTTTGAAAATGCTTCTGGGATAAAGGGATTAAATGAGAGCCGGTAGTTGGAAGCCATTTTCTTGCTCATTCCACAAGTTGTTTCCTGTGATCAGTATTTTTCCCAGTACAAAATCAACTGCTTTCTACAGCTGCCGTTCTAAGTTCCTGTGAGTCCCTCTCTCTGCTCTTGCCAATACCTGCCTACCTGCTGGTAATTTGGCTTTCGAGATTATGAACATTCCAGAACACACAGAGGATCTACAATGGGCAAAAGCCAAAAAAAACCAAAAAACAAAAAACAAAAAAAACCCCCAAAACCAAACCAAAACAAAACAAAAACAGGGCTGCTAACTGAATGGAGCCCCTGAGAGGGCTACTGTCCAAAGTCAAATCAGCTCTGGTCTGGTTGCAGGTTATGAAAATTAAGTACGAGTTATAGCATTCAATGAAGAGGAACATTCATCATATGATTATATAGTATAATTACTACAGATACAGTTTGGGGAAAGTATCTCCCAGAATTTCCCAGTTTCTCCTTTCTCCAAAGCCTACATTTCTATTGGGCAGTCATCAACGCTCAGGTCACCAGCACATAACAGAATGAGGGAAATCCAAGCTATTTTAGAAGTCAGTAAGAATTAATATGGTTTTCAAAAGTGGGCCATTTATAATCAAAATAGCTAAAAATTAGGTTGGCTGCAAATTTCCCTTAAGCATGCACACACACACTCACACATGGACATGGACATGGCATGGACAAACACACACACACACACACACACACACACACACACACACACACACTCCATTGAAATCATGTTTGTCCTGCCATATAAAATAATATCCTAAACTTGGCCTATTTGGTGTAGAGCAGTAATTCCAATTACTCAAGAGCACAAGCTTAAGGCTTGCGTGACTGGAGTGAGTTCAAGGCCAGCCTCTGCAGCTGAGCAAGACTCTGTCTCAAAATAAAAAGTTAAAACAACAACAATAGCAAAGTAGACAAAAAAAAAAAAAGCAACCCGGATCAGTGTATAGATCAGTTGTAGGAGTGTTTGCCCAATATGCATCTGGCCCTAGGCTCAATGACCAGAACTGCAAAATGTTTAAACATATTACTATCTATCTATCTATCTATCTATCTATCTATCTATCTATCTATCTATCTATCTATCTATCTTCTAATTGTCATCTATCTATCTATATCTATGTTCCTATGATTTAATGGTCAGGGAACCCCAGAGGCACCCCAAACAACACAGGCCATTGTCACTGTCCATGGTTGCCTACCAGAACTAGAGAGTAAGAAGAGCTTATTGCTGGAGACACAGCACACTTGAGTGTAGGATATAATCATGGTGGAACTGACCTGAAAATATCTTCCCTGCTGGCTAGCTAGGGGATAAAGGTGCTAGAGGGTTCTATACAGATCACTGGAGGAGAAGAGCCATCAGTGACATTACACAATAATGAATTCTGCAGGCTACAGTACCAATCTGCCAGGGACGGTGTGTCTACTGGTGCAACAGAGGCCTGAAGGTTATGGGGGGTTACTGCCCTTGCTTGTAATGGATTTGAGACCTGCTCCATTGTGAGGAATCCATTCCTGTTATTGTTAACTGGCCCAAAAGACTGTGGCTTGGGGGAACCTACTTCCCAAGGGGAATCTCCTACTACTAATTATCATGATAAATTGAGGAATTGTCAAACTGCTTCTGAGTGGTTATATTTGCATACATAGGGTAGTGCGGTTGAGTCCTTGCCCTGAAACACTTCACATCAGTGATCTGCCGTTAATCCAACAACTGAGTGCTGTGAATAAGTGACTCTACTCAGTAGCCACTTAGCTCTAAATGGGGTGTCTATATTGATCCCATCCCTCCCCCGACAAGGCTTAGACGACATCTTGGAAGATAGGGCGGAAAGACTGGAAGAGCTGGAGGGTTGGGAGGAAGACTGTGAAATGCTGTTTGCTAGACATGGCTGCGTGACATGGCCATGGCACCCACAAGCTGTCTGCTGGACATGACATGGCCATGGCACCCATGAGCCATCTGCCGGACATGATGTGGCTGTTATGCCCAGATCGTAGGGACCCCCAGAAGACCACCATGGAGACCAAATCCCGCATGTAAAAGCAAAGAGCCTTTATTATCTTCAGGCTCTGAACTTGGTCTTTCTGTCTGTTTGACACAGTGGTAAGAACAGAGAGCCCAGAGCCCAGGCAGGGTGGGTGTTTGTTTGTTTGTTTGTTTGTTTGTTTTAATCATAGCAGAGGTTGGAGTGAGGGGCTTTCCAGGGTTCAGGATCCTGAATGGCTGACATTGGTCTAGGGGTATAGGGAATGTTTGGAATGTCAGGTATTTCCTCTTAGATACAGGCCCCACTGGGTGGGGTCTGTCAGAAGCTGTATCTGGGTCTCCAAGCCTGTCATGGCAGCTGTGTGGTCAGGCTGTCTTGGGGCCCCCCACATGGCCATTGCACCCATGAACTGTCTACTGGACATGGCATGGTCATTACACCCATGAGTTGCCTCCTGGACATGACATGGTCATTGCACCCACAAGCTGTCTGCTGGACACGATATGGCCATTGTACCCATGAGCTGTCTCTTGGACATGGCATGGCCATTGCACCCATGAGTCGTCTCCTGGACACAATGTGGCCATTGCACATGTGAGCTGTCTGCTGAACATGGCATGGTCATTGCATCCATGAGCTGTCTGCCGGACATGACGTGGCCATTGCATCCATGAACTCACGGGATCTCTGTTACCTGCACAAGACCACACCAGACAGGAGCAGTCAGCATTCTTACAGACAGGGCTAGTTGGATTCACTGGGTTAAGGAAAACAGAACAAAAGCACATAAGGAGGTCAGGAGGGAGGAGGACATTATTGGGAGTTGCTGGGGGTGGATGAGTGAGAGACAGCTGGGATGGGGTGTGTGTGGGGGAGAGGATGAGGAGAGCTGGGGTGGATATGATCAATACCGTTTGCAGTGTGAAACTGTCAAAGAATAAAAGATAGTGCAAAGTTCACTAAGCATGGCGTATATACTTTTCTTTAATTAAAATTAATAATTTTGTTTCTTTGTAAAAATGTGTTCCTTTTTCCTTATTTTTAATCTACAAATATATTATTAATTTGGAAATCAAGCTACAGCCTACTGTACTTGAGTATTTATTTATAAAAAAGCAATGGTGTTTGAAACATTGTATGGATAATTTGATGCTGAAATTGATATTTAATTTTGAACATCAGTAGTATGGAGTACTCAACAAAGGTAAAGAAATAATTGTTTGGAAAGACGAAGGGAGGGGGAAGCTGTGTGCGCTTTCTTGAAAGCCAGCCGAGTGTGGGAGAATAACAGTGAAAACACACAGAGAGTCTCAGATACATTGTAGCCTTGTTTCTGCTACTTAGTAGCCTTTTTCTGGTAGTTAATTCTGAACTCGACACAAGCTCTCCCTGGTGGGTTTGAACGTAGATAGTCTCTTGTGATAAGTACAGGGAGGGATTTCTTGCTGGGGGAAATTTAGGTCATGATTCATTTAAAGGTGCCAAGTTAAGCATGAGCCGGTTATTAATACACTACCGTGGCTCTACTTTCTTGGGAAAGACTCCAAGAAGGAAGGAAGAAAGAAAAGAAGTTAAGGAACTTAGTCCGTTTGCATGTCTCTGCGTCTCTGTCTGTATCTCTCCTGTCTGTTTCTCCTTCTCTCCGAAGGTGGAATTCTCTTTGCCAAAGGTTTCCACATCCCCCGTGCCCTCCCCTTATTGCTCCGCAGGAGCCCCAGAGCCTGCGAGGCTCACACTGTACCGGGGAACGGTTCTTTTGGCATTTGTATCAAGCTGAGGTGATCTTTGTGGGAGGTTGCTATGACAATTTGCAAACAGCAGAGCCCATGGAACTCTGCAGGAGGTAGCTCCCCCTACACTGAGGTCTGCACTAGTTGGGGCCTGCACTCTTAGTCCATCCAGGGACCTGGAGACGCGAGGAACAGGACAGAAAAGAATGGACACATGGACTCCAGGAGCGCTTCAGAAACTAGGCACCTCCCAGGGAGGAAATGCATGCAAGGTGGCCCAACTTTCTTCCCTGTCTGTAGGATTTGTGGCGCTTTCCCCTCCATACCTGACGGTTGAAGTGGGCAGCCATGCACAAGTATGCCATCCATATACACGACAAAGCACAGGTGTGAGACGGGGAAGCCAATTTTTGTTTTTCCTGGGGGAAAGAGGCTGTAGACCACAAATGAGAAGGGCGGGGGGAATTTTCCACGTGTCTGGGAAGGAAAAGGGAAAAAAGATACCTTTTAAACCTCGGAGGATGAGAGGAGGCAGAGGTGCCCTACCCTTGCAGCCGAGAGCTGAAAGGAAGGTGTGCGGTGTCTCTCCCAGTGGCGACGCTGGGGAAAGGCTTGAAGTTGTAAGGAAATGGGAGGTGTCTCTGATGTTTATTTTTGCCTAGCAACCCACAGCCAACTGCTACCCCAGCTGCGGTCCACAGGCGCCCGTCTGACTCCCCTTGTCCTAGCGACTGGAGGGCAGCGGTCACCCGGTGTCAAGTGAATCAGGGAGGGCGTGCGTGGCCGAGATGGAGGTGGAAGGGCAGCCCCTTCCTTCGTCCATGCTTGGGTCACCAGGCTCAGCCGCAGTCCCTCCTCGGGGCCTGACTTTCCGAGGTGACCCCTCATACAACTAAGTTCTCTCTAGGTTGAACTGGGGAGAGGGGGCTGGCTGAGCCACTGGGACGGGTGGGGGGCGGCAGGGGTGGAGGGGGGCACAGTATTGTCTGGGAGCAGCCATTGGGAGCGGTGTTTAGGGGTGTGATGGGAGAAGGAGGGGTCTCTGCAGCAATTTCGGGAGGAGGCTGGCGGCGGTAGGTTGCGCGGTAGAGTCGGGAGGGGCGTCGCAGGGGCGCGGGGGACCCGGGGAGCGGGCAGATGGCCGCAGGGGCGGCGGAGGGCGAGCGGGCGCCGCAGTTTTCCCGGGAGCGGAGGGCGGCTCTGCTGCGGAAGATCGGAGGGGGAGGGACTCCCGGGGTGG